TGATTTTTATGAATTTTTTAAAATGAATTAAATTTATCTCTTGAATTTCGAAAAAAAATAAAAAAAAATTTTTTTATAGGGACATTCAAATGATTCAATTCCTTATCTTAAACATGAGCTTGAACAAACTGCAATTGCATTGTGATGAAGAATTTTTGATGGTATTTTTAAATGATATTAAATTGGTATATATTTATTGACTATATAGAATGGGGATTTCATTCAAAATTTAGCAAGGGTTAAGTAACCGATTTAAGATAAATCTCTTTGGATTAAATAAAACAATTAACGGTTTTCTGGTTGGGCGATTAGGTCATGGGGCTTGGTTCAAGTAAAAATATCAGGATATTCTTAAGTTTGCATTTTTTTGAATGAATTCTAATGTAAGGTTTGACCTGTACTAAATGTTGTAGATTTAATTAGGGAGCAAGGGCGTATCCAGGGGGTCGGTTTCGGGGGGGGCTAACACTGGGTGGGCGCAAAAATTTTTGGCATTTACCTTGGCGTTCCTACGGCAAATTTTTTTGTACATAACTTTTTATATTTTCAGCGCCGCAGGCGAAAATTTTTTTAATTTTAGATGGCCGTAGGCCAAAAAATTCAGTTTTTTGCGCCGCAGGCGAAAATTTTTTTAATTTTAGATGGCCGTAGGCCAAAAAAATTCAGTTTTTTGCGCCGCAGGCGAAAATTTTTAAATTCGAAGGCCGTAGGCCAAAAAATTTCACTTTTTCAGCGCCGCAGGCGGAAATTTTTTGGAATTTTGAGCCCAAGAAGCCAGATATCTCCCTTTTTTAGCGCCGCAGGCGAAAATTTTTTGAATTTGGAGGGCCGTAGGCCAAAAAAGTTCACTTTTTAGCGCCGCAGGCGAAAATTTTGAGGATTTTGGAGCTCAAGCAGCCAGATTTCTTCCATTTTTTGCGCCGCAGGCGAAAATTTTTTAAAATTTGAGGGTTGTAGGCGAAAAAATTTCACTTTTTCGACCATCCTTCTCCTAATTTTTTCCCCCTTTCCCCCATTTCGGGGGGGGGGCTCTAGCCCCCCCCAGCCCCCCTGGATACGCCCTTGTTAGGGAGTGTCTTATTTTTTGAGCTTTTAGCATTATTTGACCATTAAAAACGCAATGGTCTACATATAGCGTTTTCCCGAAAAACTAAAGTTTGCTTCCTCATTCACTCTTTCAAAAATCCTATCCTGATAAACCCAAACAATTAGAAATAAAAATTGTCTAAAATACAATGATACATCTTAAGTATTCCTCTGTCAGTTTTCGAATCCACTGAAAACTCACCCAATCCCAGCTACTCACCCAATACCTCTTCATACCTAAAGCCACTGTACCATGGTCTGCCGCCGTACATGAAATTTCGATTAATTCAAATAACGGGGATCAAAATATATTTTAGAATTATTATATAAAAGTAACCTTAACATTTCATTATTCCTTTAAAAATCGTTTAGAAACCCAAGTATTCAAATTTAAAAAGTGCAAAAACCAAAAAATTTATAAATAAATTACTCGGCGTCTGTGGTTATGCTCGAATTTTCTTCCAATTTTAACCCGACCATCGAGTAAAAGTACCCTTCGTAGACGAGCCGGACATGCTGAACGACGTACCTCCTATGTAGTTATAAATTTAATTTTATTTATTTTAAGTGTTGATGGCTCCTATCAAATATTAAAAAATTGTCTAAAAACAATTAACACACATTTATAATATATTGAATTAAGGTGGCGTGATGAATCTCTCGCTTGACGCCAAGTTTGATTGTGGGCATTCCTCCAATTTTCAAATGCTTCAAGATTTTGAAATGTAAAGACGTCCCTATATCTTATAAATCTTGCCATATATTTGTTTGGGTCTTTTCAGTACTACATATTTCTTTAAATTCATTAAAACAAGCATTTTACTGAACTTACAATTTTAACATTATTCCTCCTGACCCAGGAATAGTGCTAAAATTGTAAGTTCAGTAAAATGCTTGTTTTAATGAATTTAAAGAAATATGTAGTACTGAAAAGACCCAAACAAATATATGGCAAGATTTATAAGATATAGGGACGTCTTTACATTTCAAAATCTTGAAGCATTTGAAAATTGGAGGAATGCCCACAATCAAACTTGGCGTCAAGCGAGAGATTCATCACGCCACCTTAATTCAATATATTATAAATGTGTGTTAATTGTTTTTAGACAATTTTTTAATATTTGATAGGAGCCATCAACACTTAAAATAAATAAAATTAAATTTATAACTACATAGGAGGTACGTCGTTCAGCATGTCCGGCTCGTCTACGAAGGGTACTTTTACTCGATGGTCGGGTTAAAATTGGAAGAAAATTCGAGCATAACCACAGACGCCGAGTAATTTATTTATAAATTTTTTGGTTTTTGCACTTTTTAAATTTGAATACTTGGGTTTCTAAACGATTTTTAAAGGAATAATGAAATGTTAAGGTTACTTTTATATAATAATTCTAAAATATATTTTGATCCCCGTTATTTGAATTAATCGAAATTTCATGTACGGCGGCAGACCATGGTACAGTGGCTTTAGGTATGAAGAGGTATTGGGTTAGTAGCTGGGAGCTGGGTGACAATTGGGTGAGTTTTCAGTGGATTCGAAGACTGAGAGCGGAATACTTAAGATTTATCATTGTATTTTAGAGTATGCATATCATTGACGTTTTTAATTGTCAAATAATGCTAGAGCTCAAAACTTAGACACATCCTTAGTCACACTTAAAATACATTCCTTTTTATAAAGAACGTATATATTTTTATTTAATGTATTTTATTAGCATAAATATTTTATGAAAATGTTAAAAAAAATATTGCCTTTACAAAATAATGCATTATCAAGTGAAAAACATTTAAGTAAATTAAACAGTATGTAATTTAAGTAGAAACATAAAATTATTTTTTAATTTATACAAGAAGTAGATTCATCTGGAAACTTAAACTCCATATTCAAAACACCCCCATCAAACCATTTTTGAACGTCACTGGTTCTGGTTACATAATCCGATGGAATAGTTAAATCTATCTTGCGTTGACAGGGAAGAATACCTCTGTTGCAATCTGTGTAAACTGAAGAAAAGCTTATATTAATTAACTAATACATATTTATTTTAAAATTGAGTTCTCCAATGGAGTAATCTTTCATTTTCCAGAGGATGTTTTAGTTATGGGGCCCAACACGGTACGACCGTTAAAATTATTATTTTTATTAGTAGACTTCTGAAAAGGATGCAATTTTATAACTCAAACAGGAAGGGGAGGGATTCTAAGCGAGGAGAGATTCTAAAAGATACCTTGTCTAAATCAAAAAGAGATCGCACTTGGGGTCCAATCTATATTCCCGTTATATTTTTTGACCGACATATCGTATCAAGTCCGATCTCTAATTTATATAGTATTGAAAATATCCAAGTACTTTTAAAATGAACATCCATGGAAAGAAGAGCTCCTTTCCCTCCTTGCAACACATAATTTCCATTAGCATCAGTACGAGCATCAGCAAGCTGATCATCTCTTCCTAAGAAGATTTTTTCAAGAATTTTGAGTATTTTATTTACCAAATTTTTTATGCCAAAGTTTAACTTTTGTCCCAGAATCAGGTTTATCCCCACACATTAATCTTCCACGGATTCCGACAGATTGTTGTCGAAATGCCTCAGAAAGGGATATAAGGAGCAAAATTAAAGCGAAAATTTGAATAAACTTTGAAGGCATTTTTAAGCTATCTTTAACAGAAAATATTAAAAAACAAAATTTAAAAAATCAAGTTTTGAGGTTTATTCAAGTTTTTTAAGAATAATCTTGAATATCAAAATGTTCAGAAATATTAGTCTTGTGGCTTAAAATATTAGTCTTGTGGCTGTGCCCAGAGTCTAGGCATATTTTGACCTTCCTGGGGGTTTTCCTGGCCTTGGGTTTTTCCTGGTTTTTTTTGACAGGCCCAGGATCCGGCCCAGGTCAATAAATCGAACAAACCCAGAGTTTAGGAACAGGCCCAGACTTTTCAAAAATCTCGATTTCTAATATACATCGTCCTTTCACCAAATTTTTATAGGGAGACGTAATCTTAAAATATACGCAAGACGAGGTTCGCGCTCTGAGGGAGTCTGGTCAAATAAGTGAAACTGTGAAAGTGAACGATAAAGATGTTGAAATTTTGTTTGGTAAATATTCAATTAGAAAATTTCCAAAAAAAATTTTTTTCTTAAGAGAATAAGGATAAAAATGAGGAAATTACTGTTATGCCTCAAATGAGAAAATTTTCGATTAGTGAAAGTGAAGAGGAAACGGATGAAGAAGAAATTGAGGAGGGGAAGGCAAATTATGTTGAGGAAGAGGGAAAATAAGAAGAGTGAGGAAGGCAAAAATTAATTGACATTCAATTAAAAAAAATTTTTGTACTTTTGTTCCAAATATTGACATGTTTTGTAGACCTTTTGAAATACAAGATTTTTATTTTTTATTCTCTCAAATTTTTAAAGTATTTTATCCAAATTAAAATGACAAAGATTTTTATTGTTTTTTTACATTGGATACATTTCAGCAGTTTATCAACTATTACGTTTTATCACGTCCAAGATAAATTTCTAAGCGTTGACGGAACAAAATCGGACTGAAAAATCCTGGATTAAATTTTTATTTGTTTATCTGTCCGCAGTTGAATTTTACGAGACTTTTGGTGGGGTATTTGGTGGTGTTTATTTTTTGATTAAAAATTAGAGACCGGCGCGTCTCAGGATCCCGCGGGAATACCGTTCCCGCACTCTCAATTTTCGAGATGCGGGACTTTGCGGGATTTATCATGCAAAATCCTGATCCACAAAAATTTAAAGAATTTCACATGCGGGATCTCGCAAACACGATTTTGCCGACCACTATGTCAAACGTAATATACATACAATACACAACATTTTTATACAATAAATACAAAAAATCACAACACAAATATGTACAATACAAATAATCACAACAAAACAAAATTATCCACCAATTTTTCTCCTTCCCCAAACATCTACTTTCTTAGAGCCAATTGGAAAACACAAATACATCATCTCATGTTCTTGTGGATTATCTACACCAAACATTTTATACTCCACAACTTTATAACGTTCTTCTTCATTCTCCAACTCTGGATCCTCCATTTGAAAATAGCGTTCTTCTTCTTTTACCAGGTCGCCACGCATTTTTCGCCAAAAATCGTCTAAATAGAAGCCTCGATATCCGTGAATAACAACGTGATGGTACATAAGTTCGTATCCTCCAAGAGAACTGGAGTGTTCTTTGCCGATCAGATAAAAACGGTTTGTGTGGAACTTCAACGGAGAATCGCCAAAAAATAATTCGAGAATGTCCGGATTGATAAAGCCTTGTTCAACTTTGAAGTTTTCGATGAAGCAATGGGAAAGCTTCTTTAGCCAGAAACGAAAAACAAGCATTTCTTCAATTGTTTCTGGATATCGTTTTAATTGCAGTCGAAGAAATTTAGGCGATGTTACATCTAGAAATGAAAAAGTTAACTGATACAAGCTTCAAAAGTTCACCTGTTTCTCCTGATTCAAACAACAAATTTGCGATTTCATTCGTTTTATCGTCAATTGATACACGAGAACTGTCCTTGTGATAAAGGCAGGTAGGAATCCGTTCTTGAATTGCTGCTTGATACTGAAAAATAAAGAGAATTTTTAAACAAAATAACAACCCCTCTTATTTACCTTTAATTTGTTTTGAGCGCTCAAAGCCAAGTCCAACTCATTAGGAACACATTCCAACTCTTTACAAGCATCTGTAAAACAAAAAGTTATACTCGATTAAAGAGCAAAACCCTTACAATTAGCAACCAATTCAACAGAACACTTTCCTAGCCAATTCTTTGTTGTAGTAGACGATCACTTCACAAAGATGACGATTTGACAGTTGAAAGTTGTTCAATTGGTTGAAGTTGAGGCATTTGAGGATGTCAAGTTTTGTTTCGGCCGGTAGAAGATTCATTGTTGTTATGGGATTTGTTTCAGCAGGTAGAAGATTTGTTGTTGATTGATGAGAGAAAGATTTAGTCAAAAAAACTTAAGCCTTTTATACTATCTTTTTATAAGCCTAATTGTTAAATACTAGACATTACTGTAGACTATGTAAAGTATTTTGATGATTAATAGGAATAAAAGTATGTAGCGGTTAAAGTCCGTCAATGTTAGAATTCTGCAATGGTGGAGATTAAGTTTCGTCACAAGCAACAGATCAGAGTTGAGAGATCTCAGAATTCTGATTGTACTGATCTCTGATTGTAATTACGCGTTAATTAATATTTCTTGGCGTTATGTTTATATCCAGTCAGACACTAAAAGATTTTATTTCTCTACTTTTTGTTAGCAAATTTCGTGCCCACTCAACTCATCTAATCCTTAACTCATCCACACGCCCAAAAACGCTTAACTCATCTAAACGGCTGAAATTCCTTAACTCATCTACACGCCCAAAAACGCTCAACTCATCCAATCCTCAACTCATCTAACCCTTAACTCATCCACACGGCCAAAAACGATCAACTCATCCAATCCTTAAAATATCGGGCCAGTTGAGTCCCTAGCCACTTGAGTCCCGGCCGGTTGAGACTCAACTGCCCATGGACTCAACTGGCAATTGACTCAACTGCCCATGGACTCAACTGGCAATGGAGATGAGTTAAGGTTTGGATGAGTTAAGGATTGGATGAGTTGTATAGGAGCCGCAAATTTGCTTAATTTTTTTTATAATTTTGTTAATTTTTTAATCGAAATCTTGTTCAAGTTTTAGAATTTAATTAACGCAAAGTTTATTAAACAATGCCAAAAAATAAAGGAAAGGGAGGAAAAAAGCGAAGACGAGGGAAGAATGAGAATGACATTTTGAAGAGAGAATTGGTTGAAAAAGATGGAGAAAATCAAGGTTTAGAGATTTTATTTTTAAATAAAATTTAAAAAACAACTTTTTAGCCTATGCACAAGTGCAGAAAATGCTTGGGAATGGGCGTCTGACAGCTTTTTGTTTTGATGGAAAACAGCGGCTTTGTCATATTCGAGGCAAATTGAGGAAGAAAGTTTGGATAACACCTGGTGATATTATTCTTGTTGGACTTAGAGATTATCAAGACGAAAAGGTTTTTGAAATCAAGTTTTGATTTTGGTAGTAGAGGGGGTTTTGCCACAATGAATTCAGTCAATAGTTTTATTTTTGGTGTAGGATCTTTTATGGTTAGTGAGCTCCGAGGAAATTTTTCTATGTGACAGAGCCAGTAGATAGGTTTCAAGAAAGTTTAGTTACTCGACTGAAGATTGATACAAACCTGCTTGTGAATCAAAGATTTTTAAATATTTGAGATCCAATTTTATGAGATGACCATCAATTGGATCCAGACTTTGATCTGGAGTAGGGTTGCGCTCCAAGCCTTCGAGGACGGGATCGTCGGGGATTGGGGTTTGTCGGGGTAGAGCCTTCGGGTCAGGGTTTTTGCTATAAAATTTATCGGGGGACGTGGTGCTACACTAATCTAGAGTTACGATCAAGGCATCTTTCAGTGTTTCTTGGGGTTTCCTTGACTCAAAGGCAGGCAAAAATCTGGACAATTTCCTCAACCGAAATCAAGTCAAGATTTTTTAGAATTTCCATTCTCTACTAATTTTATCATACATACTTACCCATCTCTTTGCACGTAGTTTATGAAATTTTCGAATTCTTATCCAAGAAAACAATTTTCTTAATTAAGGCAGATGTAATTCTAAAATACACACCGGATGAGGCTCGTATTCTCAAAAATGCTGGTCAGTTGCCTGAAAGTACAAAATTAAACGAAGGCGAAGAGGAAGATGCTGGAGGGGTTGAATTTAGTAAGAAGCTTTTTCAAAAATTTTTATCATTTTTTTGTTTTAGTTGATTCTGGCGAGCATTACAGCGAGGACGAAGTTGCTGCTCAAGACAGAAATTTCTCTCTTAGTGAAAGTAGTGAAGAAGAGTCAGATGAAGACGAGGAGGAGGAGGAAGAAGAAACAAATATTAAAAGTAAAGGGAAGGTTAAATGAATTGAAGAAGATATTTTGGGATTTAAAATTATATATTATATTCTTTTAATTTCGTTGTATCTAAAAAAAAGTAAATAAAGGTTTGTTGAAAATGTTTATTTTTGTTCATTAAAATATATATTTTATATATTTCTAATATTTTTTTTCGTGCTTTTTTTTAATGCAAAATTACCATCTATGTAATGTTGCCTTAATACCAAAAAAATGCCTTAATACCAAACGCCGAAATACCAAAAGTTGTTGATTGTTAACGACCTTATACGTTGATAGGGTAACTTTTACCGTTGTTGAAACAACTTTCCACGTGTTGGAAAGCAAGTTTGTCTTTTTCCACAGATTGGTATTTCGGTAATTTTTTGGAGGTTGCTACTTCGGCGTTTGATTTTTCGGAGCTCTCCCCATTTATTTTTTTAAATTTTTTGACATCTATTTGACATTATTCGAATTTGAAGAAACGACTTAACATTTCTTCATACTCATCCTTTTTTCAAATTTTTTAAAATAATTTTTAGAAGCTTAAAAATGGATAAAATCAAAGCATTCATTAAAAAGAAAAAGGCAGACAAAAATTTTAAATTGGCTGGGCCTGGATATGTTTTAAAAGATGACAATACACAATCAAGCAGTTCACCAAAACATTCTCCTCCAAAACAATCACAACAAGCTAAAGTAAAATTTAAAAGAAATTCTTTTTTAATTATATTTTTTAGCCTCCTCCACGTCCCGATGCTTCAACAATAGCACAGGCAGCTGAGAGACGAATGGCTAAATCTGCACCGCAATCAGAATTGACTCCAATGCAAAAAATTATTAAGATGCAGGTTTTGATTATTTTTTAACTTTTTGGTGATTTTTTAAAATTTTTGTAGGCAAAGAAGGAATTGGAAGAAGAACAACGCAAGTTGACACAAGAGATGAAGGGAACAAAAGTTGACGACACTTCTTCTAAAATGCCAAAGGCTGTCAATGAACAATCTAGTGTTTTATACACCTGTGAGCTTTTTGGTGAAGACGAGGCTTTGCCAAAATCTGAGGTTTTTTAATTAAATTATTAGCAGAGTAGGCAAGTATGTCGCAAATTCGTGGTTAACAAAAATTTACGGGAAATCGATTTTGGGGTTATCTAACGCAGCTTTACAAGATATTAATAGAAAATTGAATTCATCCTATTTTTTTAAAGCTAGGTTTAATCCTTGTGATAGATTGTGTTTCGAAAGATGGGGATAAATCTTTTCAAAAATAACTAACAAGAACTATTTTTAGACATTATCAAGAATTATTATAGAAAATTACCTTTTATAGTGCTTCACTTAAACTTTCAAATAATCTTTTTGTTAAATACAGATGCTGGATGCAATCGGTTCTTGCCTTTTTGAACAACTTCAGGATGGTGAAGCCGATCCTTTATATACAACTACCTGTATTATTCATACTTTAAATAAAGAAAATGTTAAAATCCCGGCATTGGATACAATTCAACGTTATTTACAAAATATTATTGACAATCCAAATGAACAAAAATTTAGAAGGATTAAACTTTCTAATAAAGTTTATCAGGTTAATTTTTTAGATTTTTTGTATTGTCTAGAAATTTTGTCTTCGAATTTAATTCAGTTTTTTCCTTTTGATTTTTGATACAGATCGAGCTGGGTCTGGACCAAAGCTTGGTTTTTTCCTGGTCGAGAGTCTAGGCCCAAGCATTTTTTGATTTCCTGGGGTTTTCCTGAGCCTGGATTTTTCTGGAATACAGGCCCAGGATCCGACCCTTTTCAATAAATCAAACCCAAAGTCTAGGAACAGCCCCGGGCTTTTCAAAAATCTCGATCTCTAATTTTCTTTGGTTTTTTTGTGTTTCAACTTTTCCTAATTTTATTGTTTATTTTTTCATTTCTTCATTATTTTCTTAAATTTTATTTAAATTTTTATTTAAAATAAACACCTTTAGGAAAAAGTAGCACCATGTACTGGAGCGTTTGAATTTTTGATAGCAACTGGCTTTCGTAAAGAAGAATCAGCGTCTGAACATTTTCTAGTTTTGGATAGTCTAAATATTGGGTCAATTGAACAATCATTAACTGTTCTTTTTGAGGGAAAGGCTATTGCTATTAAATTGTTTCGTGATCGAAAGGTTTATTTAAAAACTTTTAAAATTAATTTTCTTGGACTAGGGGTGTTAGAAATTTTGTTAGTTTTGGATTGTTTCTGGGTTTATCTTTGTAATGCTTGCTTAAATTTCTTTGGCATAACCCAATCCTAATTTATTTAAAGGCAATTGCCTTACAAGCAAAATTCTATATGACCTACCTTTTCCTATTTTTGGCTAAAAAATTTTGGGTTTAAATAATTTTTTTTGGAATTGGTGTATGATTAATATCAGGCAAAATCCATCTCTAACGCTTGCGACAAAAATTCAATTTTTTAAATAAAAATTTTTTTACCAAAGAATTTTTACGATTAATATTTTTTCATGGCATTTTAATTTTACAAATTTTTTAGGTTTTTATTATCGATCCAAACAAACCTTTGCCTGAAATTCCAATCCCTCCGGATTTCTTTTCTCGTACGGCTGATGAAATTCTTCGTGAACAACAACAACGTACTGAAGCATTGGAACGTATGACAACATTAAGAACACAAAAAATGCGTGAAATGGATTCAATTAAAGCAGCAGCTTCTTCAACTATTTATAAATATACTCTTATTCGTGTTCGCTTTCCAAACAATTATTTAATTCAGGTTTGTTTATAGATAGATAATTATTATAGGGCAGATTTGTGATATTAGTTAAATGAAATTTTGTGAGAAAAATATTAGGAAGTTTAAAATTTTCTTCCACAAACATACCTAATCGAATTTTGAGTAGAGTTGTAGCGTTATTTTTATTTTAGTCCTTTTCTTTAGGTTTACAGTTTTCGAAATTTGTAAAAATTTTTGATTTCTTTTAACTTTATTTTGGTTCTGATTTTTGAGTGTAGAAATAAATCTTTAAATATTTGTAAAAAAATACTGAAAATATTTTTAATTAATTTGCTTTTCAACTATTGTATAGGTGTCTGAAAATTTTAAACTCTTTAAAGAGTTGTTTCAACGTTAGAAAGAAATTACGTGGCATATTAACGTTTTATAATAAAATTTCATATTAAAAATTTTAAAAACCTTAAAAATTTTTTTTTAATTTTTAGGCAATTTTTAATGTTCATGAACGATTCCAATCACTCAGAGAATTTGTGTTCAAAAATTTAGCCTTAGAACATGGCTCTTTCACTTTAACTTTTCCTTCATCTTCAAATAACAAGTTTTATTTTTCAGTAATTTTATTTTTAATTTTCTAAATTTTAGCGGAATAGATTTAGACAAAGAAAACTCTACATTTTTGGAATTGGGATTTGTGCCGTCAGCTGTTCTAAATTTTAAATGGGATGCATCTACATTGGAGGTATTTTTTGTTAGCTAATTTTAAAAGAATAATGATTATATGGGACTTACTAAAATTTAAATTTGAGTGGAAATTTTGTTTAAGTCAATTTGATTTTTATGAATTTTTTAAAATGAATTAAATTTATCTCTTGAATTTCGAAAAAAAATAAAAAAAAATTTTTTTATAGGGACATTCAAATGATTCAATTCCTTATCTTAAACATGAGCTTGAACAAACTGCAATTGCATTGTGATGAAGAATTTTTGATGGTATTTTTAAATGATATTAAATTGGTATATATTTATTGACTATATAGAATGGGGATTTCATTCAAAATTTAGCAAGGGTTAAGTAACCGATTTAAGATAAATCTCTTTGGATTAAATAAAACAATTAACGGTTTTCTGGTTGGGCGATTAGGTCATGGGGCTTGGTTCAAGTAAAAATATCAGGATATTCTTAAGTTTGCATTTTTTTGAATGAATTCTAATGTAAGGTTTGACCTGTACTAAATGTTGTAGATTTAATTAGGGAGCAAGGGCGTATCCAGGGGGTCGGTTTCGGGGGGGGGCTAACACTGGGTGGGCGCAAAAATTTTTGGCATTTACCTTGGCGTTCCTACGGCAAATTTTTTTGTACATAACTTTTTATATTTTCAGCGCCGCAGGCGAAAATTTTTTTAATTTTAGATGGCCGTAGGCCAAAAAATTCAGTTTTTTGCGCCGCAGGCGAAAATTTTTTTAATTTTAGATGGCCGTAGGCCAAAAAAATTCAGTTTTTTGCGCCGCAGGCGAAAATTTTTAAATTCGAAGGCCGTAGGCCAAAAAATTTCACTTTTTCAGCGCCGCAGGCGGAAATTTTTTGGAATTTTGAGCCCAAGAAGCCAGATATCTCCCTTTTTTAGCGCCGCAGGCGAAAATTTTTTGAATTTGGAGGGCCGTAGGCCAAAAAAGTTCACTTTTTAGCGCCGCAGGCGAAAATTTTGAGGATTTTGGAGCTCAAGCAGCCAGATTTCTTCCATTTTTTGCGCCGCAGGCGAAAATTTTTTAAAATTTGAGGGTTGTAGGCGAAAAAATTTCACTTTTTCGACCATCCTTCTCCTAATTTTTTCCCCCTTTCCCCCATTTCGGGGGGGGGGGCTCTAGCCCCCCCCAGCCCCCCTGGATACGCCCTTGTTAGGGAGTGTCTTATTTTTTGAGCTTTTAGCATTATTTGACCATTAAAAACGCAATGGTCTACATATAGCGTTTTCCCGAAAAACTAAAGTTTGCTTCCTCATTCACTCTTTCAAAAATCCTATCCTGATAAACCCAAACAATTAGAAATAAAAATTGTCTAAAATACAATGATACATCTTAAGTATTCCTCTGTCAGTTTTCGAATCCACTGAAAACTCACCCAATCCCAGCTACTCACCCAATACCTCTTCATACCTAAAGCCACTGTACCATGGTCTGCCGCCGTACATGAAATTTCGATTAATTCAAATAACGGGGATCAAAATATATTTTAGAATTATTATATAAAAGTAACCTTAACATTTCATTATTCCTTTAAAAATCGTTTAGAAACCCAAGTATTCAAATTTAAAAAGTGCAAAAACCAAAAAATTTATAAATAAATTACTCGGCGTCTGTGGTTATGCTCGAATTTTCTTCCAATTTTAACCCGACCATCGAGTAAAAGTACCCTTCGTAGACGAGCCGGACATGCTGAACGACGTACCTCCTATGTAGTTATAAATTTAATTTTATTTATTTTAAGTGTTGATGGCTCCTATCAAATATTAAAAAATTGTCTAAAAACAATTAACACACATTTATAATATATTGAATTAAGGTGGCGTGATGAATCTCTCGCTTGACGCCAAGTTTGATTGTGGGCATTCCTCCAATTTTCAAATGCTTCAAGATTTTGAAATGTAAAGACGTCCCTATATCTTATAAATCTTGCCATATATTTGTTTGGGTCTTTTCAGTACTACATATTTCTTTAAATTCATTAAAACAAGCATTTTACTGAACTTACAATTTTAACATTATTCCTCCTGACCCAGGAATAGTGCTAAAATTGTAAGTTCAGTAAAATGCTTGTTTTAATGAATTTAAAGAAATATGTAGTACTGAAAAGACCCAAACAAATATATGGCAAGATTTATAAGATATAGGGACGTCTTTACATTTCAAAATCTTGAAGCATTTGAAAATTGGAGGAATGCCCACAATCAAACTTGGCGTCAAGCGAGAGATTCATCACGCCACCTTAATTCAATATATTATAAATGTGTGTTAATTGTTTTTAGACAATTTTTTAATATTTGATAGGAGCCATCAACACTTAAAATAAATAAAATTAAATTTATAACTACATAGGAGGTACGTCGTTCAGCATGTCCGGCTCGTCTACGAAGGGTACTTTTACTCGATGGTCGGGTTAAAATTGGAAGAAAATTCGAGCATAACCACAGACGCCGAGTAATTTATTTATAAATTTTTTGGTTTTTGCACTTTTTAAATTTGAATACTTGGGTTTCTAAACGATTTTTAAAGGAATAATGAAATGTTAAGGTTACTTTTATATAATAATTCTAAAATATATTTTGATCCCCGTTATTTGAATTAATCGAAATTTCATGTACGGCGGCAGACCATGGTACAGTGGCTTTAGGTATGAAGAGGTATTGGGTTAGTAGCTGGGAGCTGGGTGACAATTGGGTGAGTTTTCAGTGGATTCGAAGACTGAGAGCGGAATACTTAAGATTTATCATTGTATTTTAGAGTATGCATATCATTGACGTTTTTAATTGTCAAATAATGCTAGAGCTCAAAACTTAGACACATCCTTAGTCACACTTAAAATACATTCCTTTTTATAAAGAACGTATATATTTTTATTTAATGTATTTTATTAGCATAAATATTTTATGAAAATGTTAAAAAAAATATTGCCTTTACAAAATAATGCATTATCAAGTGAAAAACATTTAAGTAAATTAAACAGTATGTAATTTAAGTAGAAACATAAAATTATTTTTTAATTTATACAAGAAGTAGATTCATCTGGAAACTTAAACTCCATATTCAAAACACCCCCATCAAACCATTTTTGAACGTCACTGGTTCTGGTTACATAATCCGATGGAATAGTTAAATCTATCTTGCGTTGACAGGGAAGAATACCTCTGTTGCAATCTGTGTAAACTGAAGAAAAGCTTATATTAATTAACTAATACATATTTATTTTAAAATTGAGTTCTCCAATGGAGTAATCTTTCATTTTCCAGAGGATGTTTTAGTTATGGGGCCCAACACGGTACGACCGTTAAAATTATTATTTTTATTAGTAGACTTCTGAAAAGGATGCAATTTTATAACTCAAACAGGAAGGGGAGGGATTCTAAGCGAGGAGAGATTCTAAAAGATACCTTGTCTAAATCAAAAAGAGATCGCACTTGGGGTCCAATCTATATTCCCGTTATATTTTTTGACCGACATATCGTATCAAGTCCGATCTCTAATTTATATAGTATTGAAAATATCCAAGTACTTTTAAAATGAACATCCATGGAAAGAAGAGCTCCTTTCCCTCCTTGCAACACATAATTTCCATTAGCATCAGTACGAGCATCAGCAAGCTGATCATCTCTTCCTAAGAAGATTTTTTCAAGAATTTTGAGTATTTTATTTACCAAATTTTTTATTCCAAAGTTTAACTTTTGTCCCAGAATCAGGTTTATCCCCACACATTAATCTTCCACGGATTCCGACAGATTGTTGTCGAAATGCCTCAGAAAGGGATATAAGGAGCAAAATTAAAGCGAAAATTTGAATAAACTTTGAAGGCATTTTTAAGCTATCTTTAACAGAAAATATTAAAAAACAAAATTTAAAAAATCAAGTTTTGAGGTTTATTCAAGTTTTTTAAGAATAATCTTGAATATCAAAATGTTCAGAAATATTAGTCTTGTGGCTTAACTCAGGATTTTCTTTAGGGAGGGAGTTTGATACTCTAAAGTGAACATGAAAGTACGAGAGGAAGAGTTCTTGAGAGATTCACCATATAATCTTGGAGAGGTTTTGAAAGTCCTTAAAGCAGATTTAATAATAATAGACGGGACAGGGAGGGTTTTACGGAAATCGAGATGGATATCACTGAAAAATCTAGATGACAGAGATCGTTTGAGGTCTCGTCTCGGTCTGAAATCTCTAGTTCAAAGTAGTGTTCGGCAAATGGATTTTTCAATACCAATACCAGGAGTACCGAAAAGTACAGAGTCAATACTTTCGGAAGTATTACGGGATTATTAGGAGAGAAGAATCTTAAGGAGAAAAGTCTTACTTATAATTAGAGGTTGAAAGCAGAGAAACCAGAATGGGATGGTTGTAAAAGAATAGATATCAGTCAAAGAATCTCGATTCTCGACAAGCAAGATTTTTAGAGATCTCATTATGACCCGATCTCTAGTTGAAGGTTTGTTAGCTTATTTGTTTGCTTACTGTAACAAATTTAAAATTTTGTTGATAGCCCTGAGACTATTTTTACAAAATTTTGGGTAAATAAAAAAAACATTTTTAACAACTCTAGTGTCATCAAAAATAAAAATATGTATGAAAAATAAAATTAAAAAAAGGAGCAGATTTAATAATATCCGATTTTCTCGTTCAATAATTTGACGAACAATTATTATTTGAACACTTTAAATACTAAAATATTTCAACACATTTTTATTTTTTAATGTTTGTTTTTGTAATTTGTTTACAATAAAATAACTGAGAAATGTGTATTTTGAGGGTAGAAAATGTTTATTTTTAATCTTTATAAAGGAACTAAAAAAAGAAGAAAATGAAAAATGGCTGATAATAAAAGAAAAGTGGTGACTCATTGAGGGTTTTAGGGAGAGAAATATTTAACGAGGAAATTTTTTTTGAAAATAAAAATATCATGAAGAAATTGTGGTAATTCTTCGGTTCGTATTCCCCCTTCTTTTTTCTGACCATTTTTCATTTTTCCTTCCCTTCATCCCTTATTTTTCATGACACCCCTAATTAAATAAAATTATTTAAAATTTGCCAGTAAAAATTTTTTTAAAGTTCCGGGAACCGGAACTTTAATTGGATCCAGTTCCCGTCAAAATTGCGGTTCCGGTGAAACACTAATAATGGGATAAAATATGAATTCAATATTCTGTATGGCAAATTAAGGCATAAACCGGTTTCGATTAACCAAAAACCAGGGGTCAATCGAAAACCGGGGGTCGTAAACCGGCCAAAACTGAAAACCGAGGGTACCGGTTTTTAACCGGTCGCCAACAACCCTACTTTCCTCATGTAAAATAAGGGAGAAAGGGAAGGAAAAATAAAGAAATGGTCAGAAAAAAAGAGAGGGGGAATACGAACCGAAGAATTACCGAAATTGTTGTTTCTTTGAATTTTCTAAAGAAAAAAAGGATGGTTCCGGTTAATCATGATAGTAAGGAAGAATAATGATAGCACGTCTTTTTCGTTATTAGCTCAGTGTTCCTGACGGATGTTTTAAGGAGATTTGACCATCTACATGTAGCATATCACTCCATTAAGACATCGGCACAATTAGTTCCCGGTAGTGACTTATTATCGAGCTTTGACTTATTTTACACAAATAAATTAACATTTTAATTGTGGATTTGAAGGGAATATCAAGAATGATGTATGACCCAACGGTGATGTATAATCAAGATTCGACTTTATGTTTTACCAACTTTTACCGACTTTTACTTTTTTCTTTGAATAATTTTATCTCTACATAAACGTAGAAATAAGGTTTGAAAATTTTTTAAAGAAAAAATATACAAGGAAATAACAATAGAATTTTTAAATAAAAAATCAAAATTTTTGACTCTTCAATAACCAAAATATTGGTTTTCTTTTTCTGTGTTATAGCGAAAAGCTTCGTCAAAAACATGTTCCAAACATTGCTGAATTTAAAAAACAAATAAAAATAATTTTTAAAAATTATTTACTTACTTGACAAGTACTATTAGCATCAATTCCCAAAAGTTGGAGTGTTCCCCAAACATTGATGGGTTCATTGAAATCTAAAAAATTTGAGGAAAATTTTTTCTTAAAATTTCTAACCATTAAATTGGTCAACAATTGCTGTAGTAACAGAATCCTCTAAATTGTCTTTAATGATCATTCCATCCTTTTGCATTCGAAGTCCATCCGAAATATAATAAGAAAAAATTAAAATAATACAGCATAAAAGGGGAAGTTGTCCTCGACGGGGCCAAAACATTTTTTTGAAAATTTTTTTTTCTAAGAATTAAAAAAAGGATTTCTAAAAATTTTTAGAAATTTATTTAATTCTAGTCAATTCTTTGTTATTTACACCAGGCATCACGGATAATGACCTTGGTATCCGTATCCGCATATTTACGGCGGATACAAACGGATACAGGCGGATATCCGCAGGCATTTTGATTTTATCTGTATCAATGTCCATACTCATGACCATGCCTGATTTCACATGTTTCATTCATTATTTCGATTTCCTAAAATTGCTTGGGCACTGAGAGGAGCTGGTTACCAAAGAGATGTTTTCCTTTCTTAAACTTACAGTTTTTATTTTGTTCGGGTTCTTCGATCTTTCGAAGTCCAGTCCATAAGGATTACAATATCCCTGCAACATAACTACCTAATATTCCTCTCACCATAATAAAAAAATGATTCGGGCATTTCTTGGATCTATTAGATATCATCAATCCAAAAATCATTCGAAAAAAATATTCCACTCCCAATGCCCAACAATATACAAATGAGAGAGTGGCACTCCAAAATAAGCTATCACTTTATAAAAATGTTTATTTAAATTTTCTAATACTTAGAATTCCTAAAAGGCATGACCTTTTTCTAACACAAATTCTGGATTCCGTAACCAATCAAAAGAAAGAAAAACCAAAACTTCTAGGAATCCGAGGGTCTTATAAAATTTTTTTAAAAATTAAACAGTTAATTTAGAAAGAGAAGGGTTGATTAATTGTTAAACCCATAGCTAATGAAGGGAGAGTAACGCGCGGCAAAAATTCCTCTTTCTTGGCCAGACCCTCTAATTTTGTTTCTCTCTATAATACACGTAGATAAATTTTAAAAAAATCAAAAATTGATTTGTTGTGATTGATTAATTGAGAGAGAGAGAGAGAAAAGGAGATGAAAGAAAAACTTAATATACCGTATTTACTCGATTAATTCCCCCGGGGAATTATTTTTTCAACCTATCCGTGGCATGGGGAATTAATCGAGGGAGGGGAATTAATCGAGTAAATACGGTAGATGCCAAAAAAACTTTTTTTTCGGGAGTTAAATTAAATGCCTTAAAGGCGCTTCAAAGCGACACTGTTTGAATTAAGTCCTGTCATTACTTCTATACGTCCACTCAAGATTTTGGGGTTTATGACATTAAATCGCGATAGAATTAACAAATCTCAACATTAAGGGTGGTCTGAAAAATCTACAAAAATTCCTGTAAACATCTTTGATATCAATAAAAAATACAAAAGAAACAAAGTTCCAATATATCTCCTCTCCATATTTATTATTTATGGAAAGCGAACTGTTTAAAAAGTCTGAAACGAGAAAATCGCCGGATTTCGACGACCAATTTTCGGTTCCGGTAATTTTTTCCTTTAATTTTTCACAAGATTAATTGAGGGAGAGAAAGAGAAAAGGAGAGGAAAGAAAAACATTTTTATACAATAAATACAAAAAATCACAACACAAATACAATACAAATAATCACAACAAAACGAAATTATCCATCAACCTCTCCCATTTGCCAAATAGCCATTTTTTTAGAATCCTTAGGAAAACAAAAATACATCATCTCATGAATTTGTGGATTATCTACACGAAACATTTGATACTCCACGACTTTGAAGAATTCCTCCATATCCTCATCCTCCATTTGAAAATAGCGTTCTTCTTCTTTTACCAGGTCGCCACGCATTTTCCAAAAATTATCTTCGAAATAGAGGCCTCGATATCCGTGAATAACGACGTGATGATACATAAATTCGTATCTTCTAATATAACTGTAGTGTTTCTTATTAATCAGATAGAAGCAATTTGTGTGGAATTTCAACGGAGAATCGCCAAAAAATAATTCAAGAATGTCCGGATTGATAAAGCCTTGTTCAACTTTGAAGTTTTCGATGAAGCAATGGGAAAGTTTCTCTAGCCAGTGACGAAAAACAAGCATTTCTTCAATTGTCTCTGGATATTGTTGTAATTGAAGACGAAGAAATTTGGGCGATGTTCCATCTAGAAATTAAAAGAGTTAGATGAGAGCTTTAAAAGTTTCACGTGTGTTGTTTCCCTCCCCATCCAATTTTTTACATAATGCACAAAATGGACAGTCATTTCTGTCCGATTGAATGATGCCACGGGGACAAAGAAATGACTGACCATTTTTTGCATTATGGGAAAAATTAGGTATGGGAGGGAAACGACACAAACACCCTAAAGTTCACTTGTTTCTCCTGATTCAAACAAAAGATTCCCGATTTCATTTGTTTTATCGTCAACTGATCCATCAGATTCGTTTTTGTGATATAGGCAGGTAGGAATCCGTTCTTGAATTGCTGCTTGATACTGAAAAATGAAGAGAAAATTTTTAAAGCAAAATAACCACCTCCCCCAATCGTGATTACCTTTAATTCATTTTGCGCGCTTAGATCCAAATCCAATTCATTAGGAGCACGTTCCAACTCTTTACAAACATCTGAAAAATAAAAACTTTATACTCGATTAAAGAGCAAAACCCTTACAATTAGCAACCAATTCAACAGAACAAAACACTTTCCTAGCCAATTCTTTGTTGTAGTAGACGATCACTTCACAAAGATGACGATTTGACAGTTGAAAGTTGTTCAATTGGTTGAAGTTGAGGCATTTGAGGATGTCAAGTTTTGTTTCGGCCGGTAGAAGATTCATTGTTATTATGGGATTTGTTTTAGCAGGTAGAAGATTTGTTGTTGATTGATGAGAGAAAGATTTAGTCAAAAAAACTTGAGCCTTTTATACTGTCTTTTATAAGCTTAATTGTCGGGTATTCGGCTTTAATGTAGACTTTGTAGAATATTTTGATGATTAATGTAAGGAAGAGATCCAGCTGGCTAGTATTTAAAACACTTAGGCGGGGGTTTAAGATCTATTAAAAGAGAAGGTGAAAGCAGCGTTGCGGTAGCTCATCTCAGTTGGTAGAGCACCTGTACGTAGTGAGCGAAAGCGCCTAGCAATAACTGCCAGGAGGTCGCAGGATCGAAGCCTGCTCGGGATTAAACTTTTACCCCGCTTTTACTTTAACAAGGATTATGTAGCAGTAACTCAGTCAACGTTAGAATTCTTCAATGGTGTAGATTAAGTTTCGTCAGAGGCACAGATCAGGGTCCTTTCAAGTGTTAGCTTTTCTATTTATTTACAGGACATATTCAAATTAAAGCTCAAAATAAGACAAAGAAAGTAATTATCTTAAAATCATGGATCCACCAGAAGAATTTTGACTTATTGGCCTTTTAAAATTTTCAGAAAAAATTTTTCGCTGTGCCAAAGGATGAAAAAATCTGGATTCGTGGTAAAAAAAGTAAACTCCTCCGTAATATCAAACTATACTTTTATTAGGAGATGAGGTTCGAAAAATCTTTTCGTCTTGTCTCAAAGACGTCAGCCAATTAAAACCTAGGTTCATTTTATTCAAGATGGTGATGTATTATTAAGATACACTTTTTTACTCAAATTTTTTTAATTTATATTTTATATAAATACAATTTTTATCTCCAAATAAAACGAAGACATACATGTTGAAAATTTTGAAAAAATATAGAAATGACAATACAATTTTTAAATAAAAAATTTTCGTTTTTAAAAATTCTAATAACCAAAAAATAGGTTTTTCCCTTCAGTATTATAAAGAAAAGCTTCGTCAAAAACTTCCTTCAAAGTTAGCTGAAAAATAAAAAAAATACAGTTGTAGAAAAGGTCTTGACTCAAGGCACTAGATTTTATAATTTGAATTGGCATACAAAAATTTTTTAAGGATTTTCTCCTCTTTATGTCATATTTTATACCCTTTTAAATTCTATTCCAATAATATAAGATTTAAGGTATTTAGTGCTAAAATTTAAAAAGTTTCTTGAGATCTCGATAAAAAATAAGTTACAGACCTATAGTTATTTTTTTTAATGGAAATGGAAATTTTGGTTCCGAGAAAAATTTTTTAAAAAGTGTTTTTTGATATTTTTGAGGTTACATAAAATTTTACATCAAATAACCTTTTTTTAAATGCTGAATCCGAATCTGAGTTAAAATTTTATTTATTTCGAATCACTAACCTAAATCAATCCCTAACCATCCCGATTCAAGTTATAAAATCCAGTGCCTTGAATCAAAACTTCTTACTACTGTATGTATAAAATTAATTCAAAAAAATATTTACTAGACAGGTACTATTAGGATAAATTCCAAAATTTTGGACTGATGCCTTAACATTGTATTGATAATTGAAATCTAAAAAAAAAGTTGAGAAGAAAAAATGTGGAAAATTTTTAAAAAATTTCAACTTTCTAACCATTAAAATTTTCAACAATTGCTGAAGTACAGGAAGGTTCTAATGTATCTTTGATGATCATTCCATCCTTTTGCATTCGAAGTCCATCCGAAATATAATAAGAAAAAATTAAAATAATACAGCAGGAAAGAGGAAGTTGTCCTCGTCGGGGCCAAAACATTTTTTTGGAAAATTTTTTTTCTAAAATTTTTTAAGAAAAATTTTTTTCTAAAATTTATTTTTTTAAGTCGGATTCTTTGGAGTTGAACAAGTAAATATTTAAAATCAAATATTCCTCGACTCAAAAAAATAATTGAAGGGTATGACAATTTTTAACACTGATTATGGGTTCTTAATCCGAACAAACTCAAAAATAAAAAAGAACTCAAAAATAAACTCAAACTCAAAAATAAAAAAAATAATATGAGAAAATTAAAATAATACAGAAGATGGCACCGGATCCGTCTTCAAGGCCCCGTCTATATACGGAAAACGATGCCTTTAAGATGGCACCGTTTACTGTATATACTCTATTAATTATCCTCCATCAAATAATTTCTTATAAAATTATTTTTAAAAATTAAACACCTTTAAATTTAATTTAGAAAGGGAAGGGAGTGATTAAGAAAGGGAAGGGAGTGTTTATAGCTAATGAGGGGAGAGTAACACACGGCAAAATTTTCTCTCTCTTTTTTGGCAGGGCCCTCTAAATTTTTTTCTTTTTTTCTCTATAATATAGAAATATTTAAATATACGTATATTAAATCAAAAAATCGAAAATTGATTTATTTGTTGGGAATTGTTGAGTGATTGAGTGAGAGAGAGATTGAGAGAGGGATAGAAAAAGAGAAAATAAAAATTTAATATGGATGCCAATGAATTTCTTAACATTTATTTAAATATTTTTAATTTTAAAGTGTTAAGCAAAAACCTTTTTGGCTTCAAACGCCTTGAAGATGGCACCGAAGAATTAAATCTTGTCATTCTAAGCTACAGTAACCTAATAGAAATTATGGGCTTATATTTTTCGATGGGTCTCGTTGAGTGGGCTTCTAATAGAAGTTATGGGCTTATATTTTTTAATATCAAACTTTTATTATATCACAAGAGTGTCTTTAAAATAGTGTTTACCGCTAAGCAACAAAAAGGCTTACGAAACTAGAGAACGGCAAGGATAAATCCCGCAAATCAAAAAAAGTGCGGGATTGCGTACGCAGGATCCCACATAATCCTGCGCGGGATCCTGTCCCGCGCCGGTCTCTATATGAAACATGAACTGGAAAAAGTTAAATACCGTTCCCAGTTCCATCCCGACCTCACAAGGCCGAGAGAAAATTCGGAAAATAGGGAAGGCCCCGATCCCTAATTTACTAACGTAGTTGAGTCAATTGAGAAATTTGTTAAGAGAAAATTTTTATTTTACATAAGGTGGTGTTGAATTTAAGGAATTTTTTTGTTTTTTTTAGATTTTTAAAATGTTACTCGATACCAATTCGAGTAACAGGAAAAATTATTTATTAAAGTTATTAATTTTATTTGTCGCACTTTGTGGAATTAATTGTCACGTTGTAAGATTTTAAATTGAAAGGAAGACTAGACGGGACTTCAAGATCTATTAAAAGAGTGTTTTCATATACCAGGTTTTTCCCAAAAATGGAATCAGATCGGACGAAGGATAGTTGAACTAATCATTAATTGTCTTAGTCATTAAAGGACCTAGTCAATCGCCTAAAAACCGGAGGCTTCTCTCTTTAATATCTAAAGCCATGTAGTAGGCGGCGTGATGTAATGGCTAACACATCAGTCCGGTATACTAAAGATGCAGGTTCCCAGCCGCCGATTAACCTTTTGCACTAGCTGAAGGAGAGAAATAGCTATAGCCCAGATTCTGTACTACATATATGTAGTACAAGTACCTCTTGAAAGAGGAAAACAGGGTCTCAGGATCGATGACTTGTCGGGGCTTTGTAACCTTTTCTACCTGTTCTCTTAATTAAATTTCAAAAAATAGAAAAAAAGCGCATCACTTGATGAAATATTAAATCTTGGCAACAGTTTAAATAACGGGCAGATAACTGCCGGACAGTTGTTAGAAAAGAAAGGAGGAAAACAAAACAAACAAATTAATTCCTTTAAAAGAAATTCAAATCAGAACATTTCAAAAAATTCGAAACAAATTTCTAAGGAAAAACAAAAACCAAATTTGAAAAATTCTAAAAAGAATGTGATAACTAATAAAGTAATTTCAAAAAAAAGACAAAAACAAATTAGTAAAAAACAACAAAAGGAATTAAAGGAATTGAAGGAGATGGAAGCAATGAAAATTATAATGAAGGCGGTAATTACAATTCGAACCTTATTATAAGATCCCCTTTCGGGCTAAAAAACAGTATCGGTCAGCCATGGAAAAGGCCAATCAACTATAAAATTTTAGCCTTGATCGAATCTAAGGGAAACTTATATTATTCGAAAGTCCTTTTTCAGACCCTGGGAAGTTCATAAAAAATAAGAGTCGAACCTTATTATAAGATAAACCCCTTTGGGCTTAAAACTCAGTATTGTGTTGCCATTGAGAAGGCCAACTGCCAGCTTTAATCAACTATAAAATTTTAGTCTTGATCCAATCTTAGGGAATCTTATATTATTCGAAACTAGAATTCTAGAAAAAATAAACTAGAATAAACTAGAATTCTCAGACCTTGGGAAGCTCAGAAAACTAGGAAAACCCTTAAAAACTACAGTCCTATAAACTAATAAATGTGAGAGAGAGAGAGTAAATAATTACACTTATCATGATCCAAATTTTTAATAAATGATTAGGTTTGATCCATCCCCTCGGAAAAAGATTTTTTAGGATAAGAAAAAAGATAGGTGTTTTTTGAATAATATAAGATTGGATCAAAAGCCAAAAAAAAGTTATAGTCGATCAAATATAGCTGGTGTTAAGTTGACTTCAACCCCCTTTAGGCGCCCCCGCCAAGTATGAAGAATTACTGAGTTCCTCTATTAGAATGCTATGGCATTCTATTTTTCAATCACCTTTAAAGGTTGCATTCTAATAGAGGGTGGCATTCTAATAGAGGGTAGCATTCAAATAGAGGGCGGCATTCTAATAGAGGGTGGTATTCAGATATAGGGTGGCATTCTAATAGAGGATGGCATTCTAATAGAGGAAATACGGTATCTCAAATTGGGGTGTATTAATAATTGAATAATTTATTTTAATTAATTTTTAAAATAAGAATTTGGAAAGAGAATTGAATGAAAAAATTCAAAATGGAATAGTTGAAAATAACAAAATTAAAAAACATCATCACAAAAATGAAAAAAATAAAAAAAATATTAAAAATAAAGAAATTCTTGATTCTGATGAGGATGATGAATTAGTTATTCCAACATTTGGAGAACATCCAGGTTTGTTTCTTAAAAATAGGAATGAAAGATCTCGACAAAAATCTTATTGAGAATCGAGAGGTTTAGAGATACCGATCTCGATTCTTGTATGACCTTCCCAGTTAGGGCTCTATTTTCTCCCTAATTTCTCGAATGAATACCCTAGATAAATATTTTTTGGAAAGAGTTAGGAGGCCCGAAGATATTACTCCTTTATTCCATTACCAAGGTTTTGGGCCTGACTTTGAAAAAACTGAAATTGGAGATCGTGGGGGAAGAGTCCCTCCTGGGCCTGATTTTGAAAAATTGGAATTGGAGGTCTTGGGGAGGGTTGGGGACAATATGAATAGGAGACTCACGACTATTAAGCAACATTTTTATAAATTTTTGAAAAAAAATTTCCTCAATATTTTAAAAATATTTTTACAAGGTTTCATGCCTATTGTAATGCACAAATTAACTGAACACAAGATAAAAAGCTCTGAATTAATTAGTAAACGTTTGGAAAGTGCAAAGGATGTTCGCAATTTATTGTGGACAGCTGTGGCTGTTGCAGAGAGAAAATTGGTTGATAATAGAAAGGGTGTTAAGATTGTGGATAAAGGGACACAGGTTCCGTTCTAAAGGAATTATTCTTTTAATTATAAAAATTCAGACTTGTTTGTTAGAATTTATTGCTCGTATGGTTGGTGGGGCTTATACTCCTTTTGCTTTCATTAAGGAAGACAGTAAGAATTTTAAAAGTAACATGTTCCCTCCATTATCCTGGGTTTGGGGTTGGCAAGAATTGGAGGCCTTAGGGGAGAGGTATAGTAGAGTTAAACACGTTTATCATGATTGAGCCGTGATTAACCCCTTTTTAATCTTTGGTTTTTACAGTGTTGTGCCCAGGAATGGGCCGTTTCGCAAAAAGTCAGGTCAGGGTTCGGATAGAGGATTTAAAATTTTTTTTTCAGATAGGGGTTCAGATCGAAAAATAGTGATGGTCTTGGGGGTTTCCGATCGGGTCAGTTAAAAGGTTCGAATTTAACCCTGAGCTCAAAAAGGTAAGACAGTAAGATTGGAAGTCTGGGGGAGGGAGGGGGCGTATCACCCATACCTGTTACCCACCTCTACAATGGACGTTGCTTCTTCCAGTGCCGCCCGTCTGCTTTATCTACTCCGCCTTCTCCCTTTCGATTTTCAATTTCACTTTGTCTCTGACCCTTCAACCCCTAACCTTTACTCATTAATCCTTTATAAATTCCATAAAATATCCAAAAATAAATTTTTTAGCTCACCATCACCACCATATTACCTCATTTATTTACGCATTACGCAAAAATGATATCGCCTTCCTTTCGTCTGGATATCGCAAATTTTGGCGTGAAAGTAAATTATCCTTTAATTAATTTATTTAAAAATATTTTTTAGAAATTACCGAAGAAAAATTTAAAGAGCTAGAGAAGAAGGTAAAATATTTAATAATAAATTATTATTAAATATATTGTTCTTTATTTAAAGCTTACACCAGTGTTTATCAATCGAGAATTCTGATTTTATTTTTATTTTTTATTTGATTTATTTTAAAAAGTATCCCCCCTAAAATACCCCAAAAAAATTTTTTTTAATTCATTAATCATTTCATCAGACCCTTTATTTAACCGAATCATTTAGATGTAAGGTTGGCGGATATCCAGATTCGAAAGGACGAGAGTGAGCTGGGAATTTGCCAGGATCCGCCAACTTTACTCATATGTACATAGATTTAAATACCCTGAAAATCCCCAAATCCCCCCCCCCCTCCCCCTCCATTTTGCTTTTTACCCAACTCCTCGATAATTTTTCCCAATTATAATATTTTATGAACTGACCCTCATTTATATTTTATTTGAAATGTCTCTTATTCAAACGAATAGTTTATCTGTTATCTGTCACCATTTCTCAAATTAATTTATATAACTTTGCGAAAATATGGGGTAGATTTCGAAGATTTTGGTGTTGAGTAATGATTCACCTAGCAGCATTTAAAACGCTTTGACGAGGGTTAAGCGAATATAAAAATAGCTCAGCTTTAGGGTTCTATAAGCGGTAAGCGAAAGCGCCTAGCGATAACTACGAGGAGACAGATAACAGAAAATTTTACATTATATTATGTTATATACCCTCCCAACATGTTCACATTGAACAATATTTATTTTCCATTTAAATTTTTTCTTTAAAATTTTCGCATAAAAGTTTTTCTAGCTGATAAAGATGTATAAATTTTCTTTATAAAATATTAACAAATTTTTTATGTTATTTTCCTAACTAAAACCTTTTGGCCACAACCATTTCTTTACAGGATAACCACGGTTTTCGGTTAGCACCGGCCTCACTGACCAACCTTACATTTGCCAAACAACTAAATAAATAGACCTAAAAGGATTAGGAATTTATTAAAAAATTTAAATGAGGGAAAATATTGTTAATTTGTCTCTGTTAATCCTAAAATATATTTTTTTTAAATACTATCCCCTTCATTCATTTATTTTGGCAAAAGTAATAATATCTCTTTTTGACCTGTTTAAGACAAGAAATATTATTAATAGAGAGGATGATCTGTCAATCATCCTTCAAACTATTTTACTAAGAAAATAAATAAGGATAATGATGGATAATAAATTTAGAGAGAAGATTTTTTAACAATAAAAAGAAAGAGGAAAGTCCTCAAAATAAAAGGACAATAAAATAAACCCCAAAACAATACAGTTAATCTCAATAGCCAGTGTACCGCGAGCCCAATGTACCGCCGAGCTATAACTTTGTCCAAAATTATCGAATCCGTGCGCCCTGGTATGGTTCGATGCATCTCGACCAGCTGAATCGAACCATATCATGGCGCCACGGATTTGATAATTTTGGACAAAGTTATAGCTCGGCGGTACATTGGGCTCGCGGTACATCGGGGTGTACCCTGACACTTCTATTTAAAAGCTGTCGAGTTAAAAGCTGGTTAGCTACTAGGTTTTGAGAGTTGAAATTTAACAGATATCTCGATGTAACAACACTTATAATAACTACTCGATGTATCATACACCTCAATATAAGAGACACCTAGATTTAATATGTATAAGATACCTCATTATAAAAAATAATTTTTCGAGCCTAAAGAGTGTATCGTATGGCGGGGTACTTATTTGAATGTATTTTAAAAATAAGATTTAGGTAATGATCTCTTTATTAGGTAATGAAATAACACAAAATTTAGGTAATGAAATAACACAAAATATAAGTAATTTCCTATCTTGGTCAGAAAATTAATTAGAAAATTTTTTCTAAAATAGTTAAACAAATACATATAAGTAAATATTAAATCTCTCTGTCCAATTGGAAATAAAAGCCAAAAACCAAAGAAATATACATAAATATCCATAACAAATCCCCTAGCCAATTAATTTATGCTTGTCCACCTGTTGGTCAATAATAAAAAATATTATTTTTTTTTGTTTTTACATTTATGTCGGTATATAAATTAAATTTGACCAGCCAATTTTGTTACAAGGTAAATCAAATAAACTAAAAACCCGAAACAGGATTAAAATCAAAAATTATTTTTTATGTTACAAATCTTTGTTCTTGCACCTATTAAGTTAAATAATTAATAAACTCATAAGGTATAGGCCGGCCCTCTTTATAGGATAACTGTTGAGTATGTCAGTAGAGATCAGACCTGGTCGGCACTTGGGCCAACGACACCGCCTGTCCTTAGTTATCCTCGCCTTTTGCCAACTTCGTTATTCTTGTATTTCCTATTCGGATAAACTTGTTATTCTGTTAGTCACAAAATATAAGCCCTTAAAAATATCTAGAATTTAAAGTTTTTGCTTAAAAAGGAAGACAAAAAATAAGAAATATAATAGAATTAAAGAGTTTTTATTTCGGCATAAACAGACATATACAAATTAAAAAAGAACCATTTTCAACTTGTTTATATGCTTTTTTAAATATCCATAAGTACATCTGTATACTATTTGCAACAATCCTTTTGATTTGCTTTGCACTGAGGTATTATTACTCTCCTGAAAATTTTGTCAAGAAAAATATACATACAATTAGAGTTTCACCGGAAGTTCCGCTTCCATTCCGGAAAGTTCCAGTGTTTTTTTGGTTCCGGTTCTGGTTCCGGGAACCGGAACTCAAATTAGTTCTGGTTCCGGCTCCGGTCAAAATTTCGGTTCAGGTGAACACAGAGTGTATCAGGAACGGTTCCGTGACTTTTGCGCCGAGAACATTTGCGCCGCGACTTTTGATGCCGCGACTTATGCGCCGAGCGACTTTTGCGCCGTGGAACATTTGCGCCGCGACTTTTGCGCTGCGACTTATGCGCCGAGCGACTTTTGCGCCGGGGAACATTTGCGCCGCGACTTTTGCGCCGCCACTATCATTAAAAATCTTCGGATATCCGGCCTTTTTCGGATCCGGATCCTACAACCCTTCGCTATAATGCACCATCTTGGATCTGAGAATCATGCCGGAATAGGGTTAGCTAATTTACTGAACTGAAAAAGTAAACACATCATAAATCATTTGTGATATCGAATCCGGGGATTTCCAAGGCCCAGACCTAATTCATCATTTATGGTCCAGACCTAATCATCAGCTACCGGACCCCTATTGTACTTCCTGAACTTCCTTCATTTCCTGGATACGCTTTTTAACCCGAGGGGTACAATAAAGTGAGGTCCGATTGTAGTTAATATTTTATTTTTTTTAATTAATGGCGGCACAAGTGTCGCGGCGCAAAAGTCGCCCGACGCTCAAGTCGCGGCACATAAGTCGAGGCGCAAATGTTCTCGGCGCAAAAGTCGTGATACCTCAGGAACCACTATCGTCGGTAAAATGTATGAGTCATTTTACGAACCCTTAAAAATTTGTAGAATTTAAAAGATTTTGTTAAAGAGGAAGACAAAAAATAAGAAAAACATATCTGTATAATAGAATTAAAGAGTTTTTATTTCGGCATATACAGTAGAAGTAAAAATTAGAAGAAAATCATTTTCAACTTGTTTATATTCTTTTTTGAATATCCATTATTACATCTGTATAATATTTTTATCTGCAACATGTATATCTAACTTCAAATGATGGGCAATCAAATGGAAAAGCACCCAAACTGATTATAAAGAAAAATATACAATAGCACTAATTTAGAATTAAATTTTAACAAAGTTTACCAGAAAAAAATATTTTCTGTTAATTAAAAAAATTAGTTTTACCTGCAGAGACAAGGAATACCCGGTCTACCAGCACTACAATCCCATTCCATTCCTCTATTAAATAAAAATAAAAAAATTTATTTTTAATTTACTCTGGACAGTCATAAAATAATTCGCATAAACATGGAGCTTCACAATGTTGTCCATCAACAATGTCTTGAAACATAATTATAAAAATACAAACAAAAATAACTTTTAAAAGGCTCATTTTTTGGTTAAATTTAGAAATGTTAACAAATTTAATTTTTAAATTTTTACAAATTTTTGTCAATTTTTATATACATTCTATAATTATTTAAATTTATATTTTTGTTTGTTTTGACACTTTTTAGATTGTCAAGAAGGAGAGAATTACTTCCCTTTACATAAAAATTATTTTTTAAATTAATCCACGTATTATTTCCCAACTTTAAACAGCATCCAAATTTCCCGAACCATTTTTACATTAAATAAAGCCAAAACTTATTTCTAAGAATTCGAAAACAAAAATTATTTTTTATTGTTTATTTGTTCTGTACAAAACTAAAAATTTGAAAATAATATTTTTAATGAATAAAAAATAATCGAGAGGGGGAATTTAAAAATTGTATTGCTTTAATAAATGAGTGAAAATGAAGTTAATTTCTTCCAGTTATTCCTAAAAATTGTTTTAAAAAATACTATACCCTTCGTTTATTTAGGCAAAAGTAATAATATCTTTCTGACCTGTTTAAGACAAGAAATATTATTAATAGAGAGGATGATCTGTCAATCATCCTTCAAACTATTTTACTAAGAAAATAAATAAGGATTATGATGGATAATAAATTTAAAGAAAATATTTTTTGCCAATAAAAATAAGGAAAGAGAAAGTCCTCAAAATAGAAGGCCAATAAAATGAATCCTAAAATAAATACATACAGTTGGACCCCAAATTTAATTTTTAAACTTTAGATGATCACTTGGCGTGCGAGTTATACCTCCATTTAAGATACAGCTCATTATAAAATACATCCAAGATAGATCTCATTATAAGATACTCTCTATACTATGCAACCCAGCTTACTAGGTATGAGATCTATCTGAGCGATACCCTTAATTT